TAAGAACGGAGCCTATTGTAGCAAAATTTGAGTTAAATACACAATGGTTTGAGTTCATTACGCAACACTACTTATACAGTATTATACAGTAATACTGTTCTGGCTTACATACAAATTTGACTTAAGGACAGACCTTGGGAACGGAACTTGTTCTTAAACCGAGGACTACCTGTAGTTGGTAACTCGCAGCTGAGCCCTTACCATCTGAATCTTTCATGTCTCTTTTAACTATTTCCATGTAAACTGATCTCCTGCTTATTCATGGGAAACGTACTTGTTTTTTTTTTTAAAAAAAATGGTATTTCACAAGGGAGGCTAAGAATTTTATTATTATTTCTGCTCCCTGTTAACCAAAGGAATGGACTACATCAACAAGACCACATTGATTTAAGAGTTTTTTCCTGCTTTATTCTAGTATTAAGAGTTGTGATAAGTAGCCATTTAAATGCATTCTTAGTATGACTTGTGAGGATGCTTTGACAGGGCAGTTCTATTCAAACGCAAGACATCACAGAACTCCACATAGAGCATTTCAGCCTCATTCCTCTTCCATTTGAAATTGAAGCAGTTATGTGTTACTTTCGAAAAGGGAAGTGGTATTATTATTGGAAACAGAAATGAGACACTGAGAAAAATTGATATTGCACTTAGGAGTGCAACAATAATAGTAATTATAAGTTGAAAATTAATTGTTATAAAATGTATCAGAAGAACAGACATATTCTGTCCAAAACTAAAATATTTACATCCCAATTTTCCCACTCAAATTACTGGTCTGAAAAGTGTTTGGTTGTAGCTTGTTGATGCCCATTTTCTCTTACTATATTTGTAAATGAGCATTTTGTGTATCTTTTGCAAATATATATTGCAATGCATAATGGCTTAACCCTTATCACTCTTGATATTCTTATCAGAATAAATTCAGCTAGATTACTATTTAGCAATGACATTTGGGTTAAGTAATTGCAATATCTGCAAAATATTTTTCCTTATTGGAAAGCTCTTTGGAAACCTTGATTCCTGAAGCTCCATAAACAGATTATACTCTTTGCCAAGTTATTTGTACTTTTCTTAGTTGGTGCCATCCGCAGAGTCTGTTACTTTAACAGTTTAGGTCACCAAGGTATAGTGAATAAGTTAGATATACTTGCATGATCTATTCTTTAGACCTAAAGAAGCTACAGATTCTGCAAATTGCCTGAAAAATATGTCAACTAGCACATCTGGAATTACAAACAATCCAGCACTGATGGTCCCGTTTTAGACCATAGATTATATTAAGGCAAATTTTTCCTGTCACGGTAAACTTTTCTTGTTGAGCAACCCATTCATAGTTTTCAGGCTAAGCAGCCACCTTGTGGGCTAAATCTAGAACTGAGTCATGCTTAAGCATGCTGATGTCAGTAGATTTAAGCATGTCTGTCTTGGCTGAGTGGTTTTAGAAATAGGGGACTCATGAGTGTATAGAGAGTAGCGCAACTAAGAAGAAGTCATCTAAAGGTAGAACAGTGCCTATATGAACAGTGGTTTGCAGAATCAGTGATGCAGAAATATGTCTTAGAACTTTGGGTCTCCTGGAGAATGGGTGAGTGAATAGTTTGCAAGGCTGGCCATACAGTCATATCATGTTGACTCAAAAACAAGACCCACCTAGTTCAAAGGGGCTTATTCCCCAATAAGTTGGTGTAGAATTTTACCCTAACCATGTCCACACTATAGCAGTCCACTCATAAATCAGTCCTAAAATCTGTCTCAGTTGTTTATCACCAATGGGCAGTTTGCATCCCAGGCACTTACCCATTTTAGAAAATAATTTTACTGCATTTGTATATGAAAGGTTAGCTTATTTGCATTTATTCAGAAGTAGAACATGTAGCTGAAAAATAAATGATGACATTGATTTTTAAATGGAATGGTATGTAACACAGTTCATATGATGCCAGTATTTTGAACTAACATTAAGGTGTGTATCTCCAATAAACCATCCAAAAACAA